AGGTGACTTAATGTGCTGCACTCCATTTTTTTTTAGAAATGACTCAAACTCTTGTGAAACAAACTGAGGACCGTTATCTGTTACAACTTCTTTTGGTAACCCATAAGCAGCAAACAAATGTCTCAGTGTTTCAATGGTTTTAACTGAAGTAGTAGTATGCATAGGAATAATCTCTGGCCATCTAGCATAGGCATCCATAACTAACAGAAACATTTGCTTGTGGTCCTCTGCAAAGTCCAGATGGATTCTCTCCCAGGGACTGGCAGCCCATTTCCATTTATGCACTGGCGCAGTACAAGGCATACTACGCTGCTTTTGACAAATGGTACACTCACTGACTTCCTGTTCAATGCACTCATCTACTGCTGGCCACCAGAATAAACTTCTGGCGAGGGATTTCATCTTTACTATTCCCCAGTGGTGTTCATGCAGTTCAGAAATCAACTGATCCCTTAATTTCTTAGGAACCACCACTCGTAACCCCCACAGCAGACACTCATCTTCAATAGTCAGCTCAAAACGTCTCTGAAAATATGGCTTCAGCAACTCATCCTGTACATGTTTAGGCCAGCCAGTTAACACCAACTGTTTCACTACCTTTAACACAGGATCTTTGTCTGTTTCTTTTGCTATCTCCCTTGCAGTGATAGGTAACTCGTCAAGGTAAGATACTTTGTAAATAGGGTTTGACACGACATCCACACTTGGTTTCATCGGTAACCTTGATAAAGCATCTGCATTACTGTTTTGCTCAGATCTTTTGTATTGAATCTCGTACTTGTATGCAGCTAGGATTAGAGCCCACCTTTGCAATCTAGCAGCAGCTAGCGTAGGCACACCTGTTTTTGGTCCCAAGATTTTTAGTAATGGTTTGTGGTCCGTCACTAAAATGAATTTCCTTCCATAAAGGTAGTCATGAAACTTCATAACACCAAATACTAAACCAAGTGCTTCTTTTTCAATCTGTGAGTAGTTTTGTTCTGTCTTAGTTAGCATTCTCGATGCAAATGCAATCGGTCTTTCGCTTCCATCTTTCATTTGGTGACTGATTACAGCACCAACTCCATAAGGAGAAGCATCACATGCTAAGATAATTGGTAGCTCTGCATCAAAATGTACCAAGATTTTGTCAGATTGAAGAGATTTCTTTGCATTCTCAAAGGCATTTTGACATTTTTCTGACCAAATCCAATCTGCATCTTTGTGCAGCAATGCTGACATTGGCTGGATCAGAGTCGATAAGTTTGGTATAAACGTCCCATAGTAGTTTAACAGAGCCAAGAATGATCTAAGTTCTGTTACATTTCTTGGAACTGGAGCCTTCTGAATGGCAGTTGTCTTTTCCTTCATAGGATGAATGCCAGTGGCGTCAATGACATGTCCTAAATATGCAACACTGTCTTGCATGAACTCACATTTTTCTCGCTTTACCCTGAGGTTGTAGCTTTCGAGCCTCTTAAGGACCTCTTTTAGGTTAGTCAGGTGGCTTTCTGCATCTTTACCAGTTATCAAAATATCATCAAGATAGCAGATAACACCATCCATGCCCTGAAGCACTTGATCCATTATTTTCTGAAAAATTGCAGGAGCACTTGCAACACCGTAAGGCAACCTGTGGTATTGATACAGCCCTTTGTGCGTGTTTATGGTCAGGAAACACCTAGAGCGTTCCTCTAACTGGACTTGCTGGTAAGCCTGGGATAAGTCTAGTTTGGTGAATTTCTGACCTCCTGCTAATTTTGCAAACAGATCTTGCGTTTTTGGAAGTGGATACTGATCCACGTTTAACCATGGATTTATGGTGACCTTGTAGTCGCCACATAATCTCACACTGTCATCCTTTTTAGGTATGCACACTATTGGAGCAGCCCACTCACTGTAACTAGTGGGTGAAATCACTCCTTCTGCCTCCAATTTAGTCAGTTCCTTTTCCACAGCTTCCCTTAATGCATATGGAACATTTCTTGGGTTATGGAACTTGGGCACTGCTTCTGGATCAACATGTAACTTGGCTTTAATACCCTTCAACTTGCCTAACTCAGGGTTGAACACCGATGCGTACTGAGCACATACATCTTCCACTGTTTCTGGAGCCACTCTATTCACCTGTGACCAGTTTAGCTTCAACTGACTAATCCAGCCCCATCAAAACAGGGCCTCTTCCTTTTACAACTAGCAGTTCTAGTTTTTTTGTGGTTTCTTGACATTTTACTTTGGCCACAAATTTACCCATCAGCGGTAATGATTCTTGGCTGTATGTCTTAAGTACACAATTTGCTGGACTAAGTTTGACTGATTTAAATCTTCGCTTATACAGATTTTCAGATATCACTGACACTGCGGCACCAGTGTCTAGTTCCATCTTCACTCTTGAACCATTTACACTGACATACACATAATAAGGTTTTACAATGTCACCATTACCTGTGTTCATTTCAAACAAACCAAAATCCGGACTGTCCAATGTCAGATCTGGAACAGTGCCAGAGTTCGGTGCAACTTCCATCTTGCACTGAACCACAACATCACTGGCTGCTCTGTCTTCTCTGACTTGATGTGACAGAAGTTGGGTCTCATCTGGATCCCCTTTAAACTCGTGCCTGTTGCCTGGATCAGCATGCTGGGACGCACCTTCAGGCGGGTACTGCGGACCGGAGCAGCTGCAGAAATCCTGCTGTTGGAGAGCGTTGACATCCTGACAGGACCGCTGCTTGAGAGCGCTGGGTCGCCTCTTAACATCCAGATGCATAGTTCCCTTGGTCGTACTAGAACGGCCTCCTTCTTTGCGTGTGTAAAGACAATATATGTAAATCAGAGCTAAACCACCAGCTCTGATTTACATATCTTGCTAAATTGCGGGTTTTAATATTGCAATACTTTCCTTTAACAAAATAGACCTGCAGAAAGAAATTACTAATAAAATATCTTGCATTTGCATAGTTGTATGCTCTCTTTTACCTTAGCTTTGATTGTATATTTCACAATTTTGTAATTTATCATTGTTTATTAAACTCTGAAAGCTGTGTGGCTTTGTTAATATTCTGTCCTAGAACGCGGTAAGATGTGCCCTTTTTTTTTTTTTTGAGCACCTGCCCTTTTAGTGATCTCTACGCAGCCCTGGCTTTGGCTATGTGTCCCTTTTTCTTACACTCGTGGGACTCACTTTCTTTAAACCTGCAGTCATTTGGGTTGTGACTTTTTCCACCACAACGATAACAGCTCTTCCTGGTAGCTGCATTTTTCTCAGCTTCGCAGTATTTTACTTTAGCTTTCTTTTCCACTACATGAGCCTTGAAAGCTTTTTGTGCAAACTGCTGTGCACTGTCCTTAGTTACCTCAAAGGAGAGCGCCATTTCTACAACCAGCGGCAGCGTCAAGTCTTTGGTGTGCCCGGTGCTGAGCAGTCGATCTCTCAGCTCGCTGCTTTTTACCCCACAGACGAATCTATCACGCAGTGCTTCATCTAAGAAAGCCCCAAATTTACATGTAGCTGCTAATTTTCGTAAACTAGCCACAAACTCATTGATTGTTTCGTTGTCTTTTTGGTTTCTTCCGTGAAACTTGTACCTTTCTGCAATAAAGTTCGTCTTTGGTATGTAGTGCCTCTGCAGCAAATCCACTAGCGCTTCGTAGCTTTTCTCTGACGGTTTATCCGGAGCACACAGATCCATCAGCAAGCTATGGGATCATTTCCCCACCACCGTGAGAAATACCGACTTAGTTTTCTCTTCTTTAGTGTCCAAGTCGTTAGCAGCAAAATACTGCTCAAGACTCTCGCGGTAGTTGTCAAAACTTTCTTCACTTTCCTCGAAGTGAAAATCTTCTGGTTCCAAACGCCATCTTGTAGCTCAGGTTCGGCGGTCCTTTCACTCACCAAAACGCTCGGCTTTTACTGTCCCGTGTTGCCTTTATGGAGACGCTCCGTCTGCAGACTCTGTGCTTCCAACTTGAAAATCCCATCCTTGTCGCCAAAATTCTGTTGTGTATGATACACCGTCTTCACAGGTCCTGCACACATCTGTTGTGGACAGCAAGAGCGCCACCAAATGCGATTTGTTATATTGCTTTTATCTTCACATTTACAACCAAACAGCCTCGAACACATAGGAGCATAAACATACCAAAAGTGTGTAACAATCTTAAATCTAGAGGTTCATTCTTTTCTGTGTCTGGAACGCCACAACAATAAAAGTTACTAAAGCTGTAAAGTTGCCAGAAGAAATTAGCTTTCCATTGATCAATGACAAAAAATGACCAAAACGATGGTAACACTTTATAAGAAGGGCGACATGAACATGATGTGTATCATGAACATTAATGACAGTCTTAATGGTCATCACTGTTGTCATGAAGTTTCTTTGGGTTTCTGTAATGTTTGTTTCCTTAACAGTGTCAGTTTTTAGATAGCAGCAGATATGACTGCAGGTCAACTTTTACTTCCAGCATCAAAGCTGAGGCGATACAGCCTGTATCCTCTTCATGAACGTTCATCTATTATTGATGTTGAATGAAAACATGCCATGATTTAGCTTTTTGGTAAGCTTTTCTTTAACTCTGGTGAAATACCATGTGTGATTATATAGTTACCATGTAGCCTCAAAGGGCGCTAATGTCTTGCATAAACTTATGAGTGGAGGAGCGATGGTAAATGGCAGATCAACATCAGCAATGAAGGAGCAAACACACATTTTAAAATCAGTCAGTGCCTGCTGTGGCTGTGAGGTGTGCTGAATGAACAGCTGTGGTCAAATTCCTGCCATGACAAAACTTTTTTCCTGCTAGTTGCTAGCACATCTAGGTGCCTAATGGTGCACTCACACCAGCCCTGTTCAGCTGGCTTTAATCAGCCTCCAGTTTGTTTCCTGATTCATCTGTGGAGGTGTGAATGTGTAACCAAACTCTGATGTGGAAAACAGCCTAAAAATCTCGCTCTGGGTTCACTTCAAGTGAACTCTGGTGTCGTTTGAATGCACATGTGAATACCAAGCAGACCTTAGACCAGGGGT